CTTGTTTTTAAAGTGCAGCTGGATGTGTAAATTGTTTCCCACTTTAATGTAGTTGTAAACACATTTTAAGCATGCTTGAAGTGGTTATTAACATTGTAGTTGCTGCTTTTAAGCTATATTTTGGCATCGAAAGAAGCTTTTTGACAAATGTAGTTGTAAAAAGCGCATCCAGCTACATCACATTTTGTCGGAAACTACAAATTCGTACAGTTATAAAAACTGCTTTTGGATGCTCAAGGGGAAGAAAGTTAAGGCTGTACAGATTCTCCTCTTAAAACTTAGAAGATTAAGGATTAACAACACTTATCTTTGTGTGCTGAGTATGTTTTTTAGATAGCTCACTTCTGGAAAGCATGACATGAATCACTAAATTTTCCCCTCCTCATTTCTTAAGTTTTGAGCAGATATGTGAACGTATGAGTCGAGGCAGGAGGAATCAGAAATGTTAGCGCCAACATTTGTTAGGTTCTCCTGCTATCATTTGTGTATTCTAGCTTTATCCTGTGCCTCTTTTAATACGCTAAAGTGAATGATGGGTTTCTTCATCCACCACCATAGCTCCTTTCTCCTTCAGGTGTGGAGACATCCTCGAGCGTGGCATTTGAGATTGAAGGCAGGTCACAAGCTGAAGGATCAAGGGCAGATGAAATGAGGCACAAAACATAAATGAGAAAAGTTGGACAAACTGACCAGTCAGAGTGCTTTACTCACTGTTTCTGTGTGTTTGGCACGAATGTGCATGTGATGACGTGTGGACCGTATGCATGTAAATCACCTCAGGTGTTTGTGGAGCTGAACGAGCTGACGATGGACAAGAACCAGGAGCTGCAGTGGAAGGAGACGGCCCGTTGGATCAAGTTTGAGGAAGACGTTGAAGAGGAGACGGACCGCTGGGGGAAGCCTCACGTCGCTTCGCTGTCTTTCCGCAGTTTGCTGGAACTCAGAAGGACCATCTCCCACGGTAAAGAGAGAGACTGAGTGCGTTTGTGTAAGTTGTATGCCTGAAAGTCTCCCGTCTGATTCATAGACGACTGAGCTCAGCGTGCTTGTGTATTTGCAGGTGCGGTGCTGCTGGACCTGGACCAGAAGACCCTGCCTGGCATCGCCCACCAGGTGGTGGAACAGATGATTATTTCTGACCAGATCAAAGCTGAGGACCGGGCCAACGTCCTCAGAGCCCTGCTGCTCAAACACAGGTGATTGGCAGCGTCTCAGTGCTACAAATAAGCTAGCAGAGATTTCATCTTACAGAGGCATTCAGAGCCATTTGAGGTGAACCTGTTCTTGTTAATGATCTGAAAAAATGTGGCACATGCTGTGCGCTGCAATGGCGATGATATCTCAAGGTAGTTAAATAATATATTGCAAGGTGTGCAAAATGGAGACCGGGTATATGTATGTGCACAAGCTAGCTTCAGCTTTTCATGGATTATTCTGCTGCTGTTGGGTATTTATTTTGAAGTGAAGTATCCTGAACATTTAACTTATTTTTGCAAAAACTAGTGGAGTGAAAAAAAATGGAGGTGGAAATGAGATGACATCAACTTTAAAGTTCCTGAAGGAGTTAAAAAAACCCCTTTTGTTATTCTGAGATGTTTTTTTTTTGAGTGTGGGCTGTTTTTACTGTGTTTTCTTTTCATCACCGCTACACACTTCCTGCTATTAGATGGCTTCATGCTTGGTCACTACCTCTCCTCCTCCTGTTCAACCTCTCTCTCCCCACCTCTGCCTCCCCTAGTCACCCGAGTGATGAGAAGGAGCACAGTAGCCATTTCCCCAGGAACATCTCCGCAGCCAGCCTTGGCAGTCTGATAGCGCATCACCACAGTGTCAACCACACCAACCAGACCGAGCCGTCAGTGACCGACCCCCTCATGGGCACAGTTCGCGTTACGGGGGACACAGACACGCACATCGACATGGAGAAGAATGAAGTGCAGGTAAGTCCGAGTCTTCAGAGTTTGCAGAATATCACAGGAATCTTTGTCGTCCTTATTTACACTTCTTGTGTTGTTTCCAGCAGAGAGAGCTGAGCATCGGACCTGGCATGCATCGGTCCAAGTCCAAACATGAACTGAAGCTGCTGGAGAAGATTCCTGAAAATGCCGAGGCTACAGTGGTCCTCGTGGGTAAGTTACTCATCTTACTACAGTACACAAGCTCTCTGTCCATGAACTTCTCTTACAGCATCAGCAGTTGTGGCACACAGGTACAGCTTAGGCCCCTGAAGGTTCTCATCTATATCACATAATATGACATCACATTGCCTAGCAACCATCAATCAGCAGTCTTAGATTACCCGTTTATAGGTTTTTATGCACCTACAACACTTTTATAAAAGCATGGTATAAATTTAATATCATGATTGTAACATCTAATTTATACCCAGAAAAACTTGAATTATATATGACATCATCATGTTCCCCAGCAACCACCTAGCAACAGACTAAAATCACAGGCCAGGTAATGCTGTACCACTAGTTTTTTATTTATTTATTTATTTATTTTTTTTTATATAACTACAGTTAGTCTAAAAACCGGTTACTACTTACAAAACTTCGCCTTTGGTTGCATGTAGCGCTTTCTGCACACTGACCATCGTGTCCTGTGGTTTCCCAGGCAGCGTGGACTTCCTGGAGCAGCCCACCATGGCGTTTGTGAGGCTGCAGGAAGCGGTGGAGCTGGAGTCTGTCCTGGAAGTGCCAGTGCCGGTCAGATTTCTCTTTGTTTTGCTGGGACCCGCCACTACAAGCATGGACTACCACCAGATAGGACGCTCCATCTCCACCCTCATGTCTGATAAGGTGAGTGGTGGTGCTGATTTAGGTGTCCAAAAAAAGCCCCTGGAGCCAGGATCGGCCCAGCAAAGGCTCTAATCCGGACCACTGGTCAACTTTGGAAAATGTGAAGGAGGACATAGAAGAATTTTACATTTATATGAAATAAAATAACACCTGTAGGTTTCTGTTGGCACCAATGATGTTGGGTAAATTGGTTTATTTCTGCCATCATCTTTCAGCAATTCCACGAGGCGGCCTACCTGGCAGATGACAGGCAGGACCTGCTGAACGCCATCAACAGCTTCTTGGACTGTAGCATCGTGCTGCCACCTTCAGAGGTGGGAGGTGATGAGCTGCTGCGCTCTGTCGCCCGCTTTCAGAGGGAGATGCTGCGGAAGAGGGAGGAACTCGAGGTCAAACTAATGGCCAAAGAACCTAAAAGCCTTCAAGAAAAAGGTAAGTGTTTCCATTTCAATTAGGAATTTCACTCGATTTGATTTTAGGTGCCTTCTCATGGGTTTTAACGTAAAGCTCTGTCGTCACTCAGAGGCACTCCTCAAACCTTCGAAAAAGTCAGACGACCCCTTAGAGCGTACTGGACGGCCTTTTGGTGGGCTGATACGAGACGTGCAGCGGCGTTACCCAAAGTATGTCAGCGACTTCAAGGATGCCCTGAACAGCCAGTGCATGGCCGCAGTTATCTTCATCTACTTCGCTGCCCTCTCTCCGGCCATAACGTTTGGAGGCCTGCTGGGTGAGTCTGTGTGAGGGAATTGAGAGTGTATTCACACCTCATATCGCAAATCCTCTCCGTGTTTTGATTAACCGTTTAACCCCGGGTCTTCCTCCAGGTGAGAAGACAAACGGCCTCATCGGTGTCTCTGAGCTGATTGTGTCAACATCAGTGCAGGGGGTGGTCTTCTGTCTGCTCGGGGCTCAGCCACTGCTGGTTGTGGGCTTCTCTGGACCTCTGCTGGTCTTTGAAGAAGCCTTTTACAGTGTAAGTTGCATAAAAAACATATGAAGTTAATTTCAAAAATGTTAAAAATGCTGGTGACTTACTAAATAGGCAAAAAAAAATGTGCTTAATGTCTCTGTGCTCACAGTTCTGCACATCAAACGAAATAGAGTACCTGACGGGTCGCGTCTGGATCGGCTTTTGGCTCATCATCATCGTGGTCACCATGGTGGCCTTCGAAGGCAGCTTCCTGGTGCGCTTCGTCTCCCGCTTCACCCAGGAAATCTTCTCCTTCCTCATCTCCCTCATCTTCATCTGCGAGACCTTCATCAAGCTTGTCAGGGTACACCTGAGACGTGAAAAGCTCCTGATTAGAAAAAGTTTTTGTTGGCATGCTGTGCGTTTGCGCCGCTGACGCTAAGCAGAGTAGACTAATCTCTGGACAGTGTTCAGAAGTCGGGGTCGAAATGAGAGTGTTTTTCTAACAAGCACACCTGAAATCTTTTCTGATTGATGGAGCCTGAATCCTAAATGGATTTAGTTTTAATTATGGTCCAGACTTTTGGAAGATCTGCTATTTTTAGAGTTTTATGGCACAGACTTAAAAGGCATTTTGCTACGAGCTAATCTCATTTCAAAGAAAGAGTGGTTGCGGTACCTGTTAATCCGTCTAAGAAAAGTAATCACAGTGTGTTTGTGTGAGCACCTTTTTATAATATGAAACTCTGTGTGCAGATTTTCAAGGAGCACCCGCTGAAACGCTGTTCCTTCAACAACGGCACCGATGCAGACGCCTTGGCGGAAAACATCACCCTCATGATGAAAAACAGCAGCCAGCCGGCGACTGTGAAGGTCAGCGGGGAACCGAACACGGCGCTGCTCTCTTTGGTTCTCATGGCGGGGACGTTTTTTATCGCTTTCTACCTGCGCAAATTCAAGAACAGCGCTTTCTTCCCTGGAAGGGTGAGGAGCTGAAATCTGTAATTGAGATCTGCAGCAAATATTTGATCTCGTTTGATGTGACACATTTAGCAGTCCGTCTGTTTAACCGTGCCGTCTGTGGTGTTTAGATACGCAGGATTATTGGAGACTTTGGGGTACCGATCGCCATTCTCATCATGGTTCTGGTGGATTACTCACTGGAAGACACATACACACAGGTGAGACTCAGTGGACTGTGCAGTGTGTTTATCATGCAAAATATTGGAAAAATAAGGAACCTCCTTATCTCAGAGGTTGATGGGAGTTTGTCTCGTGTCTTCCTTACAGAAACTGAGTGTCCCCAGTGGATTTTCAGTGACGAATCCCGACAAGCGCGGCTGGTTCATCAGTCCGCTTGGATCAAATGGGGAATT